AGGAGGAGGAGAGGGGAGGAGAGGAGAGGAGGGGAGGCGCGAGCGGGGCTCCAGAGGAGCAGCCCTCGCCTACCGTACTGTGTGGAGTAGACGCCCGTTCTCCCACCCGCCAAACCAGAGCTCACACCTCTGACAGCGCAGACTCAAAACCACTTCATACATTCGTTCCTTCATCGTTTACTTCCTCGTTCCTTCACTCATTCATGTACCCCTTCATTCCACCCACTCTTCCATCTGATTCTCTCATGCCACGATTCAGCTCATTCATCCCATACATTTTCCAGTCATTTGCTTTATCCATCTATTCACTCTCTTATAAGCCTATCTACACAGCCACCCACGCAGGGCATCTCTTATCTGTTTGCCCAGGGCACGGCTTTGTAACGCACACGGTGGTGCTCAATAAACATCTGGGATAAAATGTCTCCAGATCCACGTAATCTGAAGAAGTTACAGAAAGACTGTCAAAGTTTGGATTTGAAATCTGACAGTCACTAGCTTCGTGATCCAGAGCAAGCTGCAAAACTTTCTTAGGCCTTAATTGCCTTACATGTAAAAATAGGAATGATAATACTGCTCACCACAGAGGCATCTTGTGAACTCAAAGAAACTAGTCTGTCAAGGGACCAGCAGTTGGCATAATGGCTATGTCGCTGGACTCCCATGTAGTCGATGGTAGTTTGAGTCCCAGACCCTGTGGCTTAAACTCAAGCCCCGCACATGTGGTACATGCCCAAGATCCTGAGAGGAGAATGGAGGAGAAGGGATTGCAGCGTGGCCATCCCCCTGAGGGGTGATTTCTCGCTTTCTGTCTCTATGTCTTTCTCTTTCTGGCGAGCATACATGCCCTATAGCAAAAAAGTAAAAGAATGGAAATAAAAAAGGAACAGGAAAAACACCCCATGCTAACACTAGTAAAAAGAAATCTAGAATACCTATATTTCAAACAGACTTCAGAACAACAAAAATCAAGGATAAATAAGAGCATTATATAATGATAAAAGGGTCAACACTCCAAGAAGACATACTCATTCATAATAGGTATAACCAAAGAGTGTCAAATATGTAAAAAAACAAAAACCAAACCAAACCAAAACAAACAAACAAACAAAATCTGTAACTGCAAGGAAAAGCAGATGAATCTCTTATTATGGTTGGAAACTTTATACCACTATATAAGAAATAGGCAGGTCCAGGGGCCAGAAAACTTGTAAGAACATAGTTAAACTCAATAGCACCATAAATCTGTGGATATAATACACATCTACAGACTGTTTCAGCGAACACATCTTTTCATGCTTATGTGGAATAGCGACCAAAATAATCCATATTCTGGGCCCCCTAGGACAAACTTAAAAGAATAGAAATCATACAATGTATGCTCTCAGACCCAAACTAAACTAGAAATCAGAAACAGAAAAATAACTAAAAACGACCCCCCAAACCCAAATACTTAGAGTTTAAACAACACTGCTAAGTAGCACATAAATTAGAAAAGCAATCTCAAGAGGAATTTAAGATTTTTTTTTTGAGAGAATTTTACCACAGGGCTTGTGCACTTGCCAGAGAGACAGAGAGGGACAGGGAGACAGAAAGTGAGACACTACCCCCCAGGGGAGATGGCCACACTGCAATCCCTTCTCCTCCATTCTTTCCTTGGGATTTTGGGCATGCATGCACACGCACCTGGGATGAGTTTCAAGCATCCAGGTCTAGGACTCAAACCGTGGTCAGCCATGAAGGAGTCCAGCAACATAACCATTATACCACCTATTGGCCCCAGAAATTTAAGAATATTTTGAACCAAATGAAAATTAAAATACAACTTCTTAAAATTGTTGAGATGCAGTGAAAGAAGTGCTTAGAGGTAAACTTACATCATAAAGTGCATTTATTAGAAAAAAAGAAAGATTTAGGAGTTGGCAGGTCTTGCAGTGGTTAAGGGTGTGGACTCTCACGTGGCTAACCACGGTTTGAGTCCCGGATTTGGCAGCTTGCTTTCTAACTTTCTCTCTCTCTCTCTCTCTGTTCCTCTCTGGTCAAATTAAAATAAGTAAATGAATAAATAAAGGAAAATAAAATAATTTTTAAAAATTAAAAAAAAGAAAAGAAGGAAGATTTAAAACCAGTCATCTGAGATTTTGCTTTAGGAAACTAGAAAAAGACCACCAAATCAAATCCAAAGTAAAAAGAATATACACATTTTATGATATAAATTTGCCTCTAAGTGCTGTTTTTGTTGCATGTGTGTCCAAAATCCCAGGAGAAGAATGGAGGAGAGGGAACTATGAAGTGACCATCCCCCTGGGGGGGGGTGAATTCTTACTTTACCTCTCACTGTCTCTCTCTGAGCACACATGCATTATGGCAAAATCCTAAAACAAACAAACAAACAAAACAAACAAACAAAAAACACAAAAAAGAAACCTAATGGAAACAATTTTATTCATAAAAGTCAAAAAGTGAAAATATGCCAAATGTTCTCTAACTGGTAATGGCTGAAGAAAATACACTGGAATTCTATTGATCAATAAAAGGGTGAATACTGATACATAGTACAGCATGGCTGAGCCTCAGAAACCTTATGGTATGGTGACAGAAGCCAGACATAAAATACCTCATATTTCACATGAAATGTGCACAAAAGTCAACTCTATAGACAGAAAGTACATCAGCAGTCTGTGGCTGGGGTGGGATGGGTTAACGGTAAATGGCCAGAGAGATTTTATTGGGGTAATGGAAATGTTCTGAAACAGGATTATGTTGATAATTGCACAACTCAGTACTAAAAAATAAATCACCGAACAGTACACATAAAATAGAGTGATATTATGAAATGTAAATGACACTTCCGTAAACCTCTCAAAAAACTCCGTGGAGAATTTTTCAAAGTTCAGAGACCTTTGGGGCCGGCAAGTGGCGTGGTGGTTAAAGGTGCTGGACTCCCACATGGCCGACCACTGTTCAAGTCTCGGACCTGGTGGCTTGCTTTCTCACTTCCTTTCTCTCTCTCTCTCTGATCAAACTGGAAAATAATAATGATGATAATAATAAAATAAAGTTAAATAAAATAATTCTTAAAAAAAAAAGTTCAGAGGACTTTAAAAGGTTCAGAGGTTTTCATTTTCCTCATTTTTCTTTTCTTTTTTTGAGAGGTTTTTGCTATAGGGCACATGCGCTCCTCAGAAAGACAGAGAGACAGAAAATGAGAAATCACCCCCCAGGGCGGATGGCCATACGGCAATCTCTTCTCCATTCTCCTCTCAGGATCTTGGGCACGCATGCATACGTGCCCGGCGTGAGTTTAAGCCACAGGGTCTGAGACTCGAACCGCGGTCGGCTACTTGGGAGTCCAGCGACATAGCCCTTACGCTAACTGCTGGTCCCCAAAAAGTTTACTTCTATTCATGATAGACAGTGTGTGTGAGAGAGGAAAGAAAGAGTGCAAGAAGCACCCTTGATAGGTTCTCATCATGCCATAACCCCCCTTCGCCAGCCCTCCAGCCTGGCAGGACGCTGGGCAAGTATGCATGCACCTGACTGTTTTCAAGCTGACCAGGGCATCTGAACCCTTCATGGGCTATGAGTTCTTTAGTATTGCCCTTCAGTAAGCACCAACCGCACCAGCAGGGTGGGCTGTTTGTTTCATTTATTTCTTTTCTTTTTTTTTTTTTTCAGAGGTTTTTGCTATAGGGCGCATGCGCTCGCCAGACAGAGACAGAGACAGAAAGCGAGAAATCACCCCCCAGTGGGGATGGCCATGCCGCAATCCCTTCTCCTCCATTTTCCTCTAGGGATCTTGGGCACGCACGCACACGCGCCTGGCGTTGAGTTTTTAGCCACCGGGTCGCAATGCGAACCATGGTTGACTACGTGGGAGTCCAGCGACATGGCCATTATGCTAACTGCTGGTCCCTGTTTGTTTCATTTTTAATATGAAGGAAGAGGATTATGAAAGACTGACAGAGACTTTACAACGACAAAATTAGAGAATCTGCCTTTAAATGCTATAATGTGTGCACAGATATTGAGGATGGATATACCACAGTATTTTTAATGCCAAGGAAGATGCCTGTCCAGATTCAGACATGGGACAATGCTCCTGTTTCCTTAACCAACTAGGCATTCGTGGAGGAATGAAACCACGGCTTCGCCTTGAGCATTGTTTTCCATCAACCAGCTGTGTAACCTTCTCCAAGTCACTTCATTTCTCTAGGTTTGTTTCCTTATCTGTCAAAATAAATGTGGGTTGTACAAGATGGCTGTTATCATCCTGTTCAGCTGCAGAGTTATTTTCCTTGGCAGTCAGCACCCTCAACAATTTGCCCCAGACTCCTTTCCAATCCTTGCTTATTGCTTCGGTTCCTGTATCCTTCACATCAGATAAGGTGACCTGGTTCCACCCCACTTATCTGAGCTTTTTCCCCCCAGAGCCTTTGCTCAGGCCCCAGACTGGCTTATCAGGAATGAGCTTTTTCTAACTGTTCCAAGCCCCAAACATTTCTCTATCTCTGGATCTGACATTACTTTGTATACTCTTTATTATTTTTTACCACTGTTCCATTTATCAATTGCTGCATTATAAACCTTCCTAAAGCCTACTAATTTAGAATAATAACCATTTTATTACGTTAAAATTTTGTGAATTAGGAATTAGGACAGAAGAGTGGAGATGGCTCTTCTCTCATCTGATGTAACTGGGATCTCTGCAGGGGCAGCTCAGATGACTGGAGATGCCCGGGATGGGGCCATAAGCCTGGAGCCTTGCTTCTAACTGCCAGCTTGATTCCTCTGTTCTCCATGTGGCATCCAAAAT